TACTACTGACAATGATACAAGCATGGTTGTTGCAGGACATGAACTATAAATAGATCTTTTATTTTTAGAAAACAATGAATATATACATTAAAGATGCGCAGTGCACATTTTGAATATTGCCGTAAAACACAATATGCAGCTCGAGACTACAATCATTGAAAAAATTCAAAAATTCATAAAAAAAGTACACCACTTTCAATTATTGTGTGATAATTTGTGAAGTATCTACACTATACAAGAAGTTGAATATCTAAAACCTGAACTCGATATTGATATGTGCTGGAATAGCATATTCCTAATGTTGAAAAAAGTTAGAAAATGAAAAAAGTGTTGGACTATTTGGTTGTAAAGAATAAAAAACAACTTGAAAATTTGTGGCTAGATGAAAATGAGTGGGACGAAGTAAATACAATTCTAAATCTTCTTGGGCCAATATACCAGGCAACTTTATTGTTGTCTGCTAGTTCTTACCCGGCAATTAGTGATGTTCATCTTGTGTTTATTAGGCTTCAATGCTATTTTGATCAATATCTTTCTGATTATAAAGAAAATGAATGTTATATAGCACAATCAATAAAGTACAAACTAGAAAAATACTGAATCATTATTGATAAACCAACTACATTACCAACTTTACTTGATTCATGCTATAAGTTAAAATCTTTTGTAATATGTGAAGCATGGTCAGCCGCTATAGATATACTACGTCAACATATGGAGAAGTAAATATGTCTACTATACACAAAAAAAAGAAAACCAAGAAAAAAAAAATTAACACTTATTTTTTGAATTACTATTATAGCAAGAAAATGATATACCGATGGTAAATAAACTAGAACGATACTTGGCCCTTCCACTTGCCCCAGAAGGAAACCCACTTAAATGGTGGTATAAGTTTGAGAAAGAGTTTACAACTCTTAGTAAAATAGCAAAAAACTACTTGTCTATACAAGAGACTAGTATTCTAAACGAACGTGCATTCTCAATCATGGCTCATACAATTACGAAAATTAGAAGTAATCTTACTCCGGATTCAGTACGTGCTGTAATGTGCTTAAAAAGCTGAATGACAAAGGTTTGTGATGATTATTATGACTATGATAAATCGTAACTTGCTCTATAATTATTTCATGATAGTAACAGGCTTGAAATTTTGAATTAATAGTTTTTATTATTTTGCGAATTGAGCATATATATGATTTTATTTAGTAAATTAGGTAATGTTTAAAGGAAGGGTGTCTTAGATTTATTATTTTTTAGGTGTATATTGTCAAATATATTTAGTTGAGTATACTACTAAATATAATAATAATAGTTTAAGTACAAATATACTAAATAATCTAATAAAACTGCATTATATCAATAACTATAGAACAGTTCTTTTTTCACTATTATCTATTTTATCACGCTAATAATTATTTTTTCACGATGACCTTTTAATACATAATAACAATTAAATTAATAACATAATCGGTGCATAATAACAATTAAATTAATAATGTAATCGGTGTATCATTTATTTCCATATTCATATAATATATTAAAAAATTGACGTATATTATTTGTCATTTCAGGTTACTTATAGTAAATCCGATTCTTACCGATTTTAATTTGACAAAAAGTACTTTAAAAGTATAAATAAGTTCCTGGACAATTGATTTGTACTGGCTAATTAGATACCATTATTCCTGAAATATCTTATAAAAAAATTAATTGAATAAATATTTTGCTATTTCAATTTTGGTATACTATTATTTATAGAGATAGTCTAATTTAGACTATCTCCATAAACAATAAATGCTACCCTAAATCGAATCAGCAGAAAAATTAGTCCGGGCAATTAATTTATATCAACCAATCATATGGAAGTCTTACTATAAACTCTGGAGTATTACATAGTGCTTAGCATATAGTACTTTTGGTTATACTCTGGGTTATACTTTGAAGTATACTCTGATTCATACTTCAGTGTGGTGTGGTGTTAGGAGATACTCTGCTGGAGTATGCACCACACCACTCTGGAGCACTCTATTAACATCTCTAGAATGCAACCACATGTTTGTTTACAGACAGATATGGTGCTACTTTACAGAACTCGACTTGGGAACTTTAATTATGGCAGCAGATATGGATTCTCGAACAGCGGCAGCATCTGGCTCAAGATACGAATTGGAACAGGCAATGGAGCCATCTGAGATCAGTAGGAGAGTCAGAAAGTAAACTTTAACATTAAGACGAAGCTTTACAGGAGAGATATATAAATATTGCATTTGTTATATAATTTTTATCAACTATGCATAGGTTATAATAGTGTCTTTAAGGTCTTAAATTTCTTTTTATATTTTTTCTTTTTTGGAATCTGTGTTTTTTTTTCCTTTCTTTGTTTGTTTGTCTTTTTTGGTCATTTTTATAGTTTTTTATTTTAAACTTTTCCCTCTTTTGTCTCGTGCCCCTTGAGAAAAAGGAAAAATTAGAAGGAAAAAGAGGTTCTAAGATGGGAGCTGAGCCCAGACTATACTATATCTTTAAATATGCCACACTATATATGAAGTATAGTGTCAATTATTAGTGCAATAACCAAAGTTAGGCATCTTTAAGAGACAGCCGGCTTTTAGTCTATCCAAGCATTAAGTAGTTTAGTTTTGTATTGAACGTCAAATCTTAATAAAGTTTTAGTACATGGTTATCAAAGGAAAAAAAAAAAAAAATAGTCTACTCAAAGGTTTTATATTATTATCTATTTAAACTATTTGGTTACAATTGCAGTTTTTTGTATCTACTTTAGAATAGTTTACTATTTTAAATATAAATCTAATAAAGTAATTAATAGTTCACATATATTTTTACCTATATGTTTAGTAACTTCTTTTTAATTAATATCTGTTGTATTGCTATTACTATGTTTATATCTCAAGCTATTTTTTATAATGCTGCTATAACACAGTTTGTATTTCATACTTCAATCTTTTTAGTTAGTCTTTAGTTACTTATTTTTGCATTTGTATAGTTTATATAAATTCTAATACCTATATTTGAACTTTTCTTCTTCTCTAAATTCTTTACCAATCTCTTTTTTACTTTTAGCTAGTAGCCTAAAAGAATTGATCTTAGCTTGTTCTAAGTGCTTCTGGTCTGTTTTTCCTTGAGGTTAAAAATAGTTAATATTAAAATTTTATATATATAGAAAATTTGTTTTTTTGTTAAAATTCAAAAAGTGGTTTTATTAGCAAAATTTTGAGTTATTATATATAATCATGTTTTATACATTAGTGTACAAATAGAGATTGCCAAAAAAATAATATCAAAAAATATTTTAGCAAAGTTTAAAATAAAAATTATTTATTATAAATATTGTAAAATAAATTATTATAAAACACACCTATAGTGTTTACCTATTATATTTTTTTATTGTACTTTTTATATTTTCTAAGTTTTGCATATTAAATTTTAATAAAATTTTTTTATATACGGGTTAGTATTTAGAGTTAAGGTTAGAGTTTTTTTATGAGCGTAATACATTTTTACATAGAATACCTCACACTAATTAATTCGCTTTTGTAATAATGTATAAAGCACCATAGCTGATAGGTGCTTTTTATTAAAATAATTTTTTTTAATTTGTGCTAAATTTAGTACAGAAGGCTAACGGATACCTATTAAAATAAAAAAATAATTCCACAAATTAACCAATTGAGATATGCGAATCATGAGATGCGAACCATATATTACAATTGAAAAATTTTTAAATCACGTGTATTACACATCACATGATGTATAAATAATAAATTAAAAATTGATCTATATTTGTCACGAAGGGTACGTACCTTATACGGCGTTTTACGGTACGTATGATTACCAGAGTGCTATATTTCAAAGATTCTAAGTAAAAAATGTTCAGAACCCCGAAAACCTAACTTTAACTAAAACTTGAGCCTTTATTTAAAACCTCTTCTTTGATCTAACTGCACCCTAACCCTAAAAATAAGAGTGGAGATTATTATCATTGGTTAATTTGATTATATAATATTTCATTAAATAAATATTAAAAAATCAAACCAAATAATATCGATATTAAAAATTAATAATTGTAAATAAATAAACAGCAGTAAAAAGCTGCTTAAGCGATCAACAAAAAAAAACTACGTATTATTTATTTGTATTATCTAATCTTGAAGCAATTTATCACAAATGCAAATTAGTACGTATTTTTTTGAACTTGATGTTAGAAGCCGAATGTTACATTTGTACGTATTAAAAAGCTGTAGTGTAACTTATTAGTGATAAATGAGTATGAAAAAATAAATTAATTAATAACATACATTAAGCTGTCATACAGTACGTACATACGTACATACGTCGTAGAAAGGCTTACAAACGTAAGTATGTACGTAACGTATGTAAACTCACACTGTATATAAATCATTTGCATGAAGAATCACAGAGAATTAAAAATAGTATTATATGTACGTACGTATGCGTTAGAAAGTACCAAAGAAACACAATCTTAATTAAGGGTGATTTGTAACATTTATGGGTCGATATGAAGAATGAAATTTATAATGATGGGGAATCAATTTTAAATTCTTGCCGTATAGAGACACAGATTAATAACATAAACGGTAATAGATTTTGCCAATCCACTCAACGCCCGATGGATAAAGATACTAAAGACACTGTAATTTGGTCATACGGATAACCCTGTCAAAAATCCGGTAATTTATTGTAATTCCGAAGGTTAAATTTCATGACGTTTATTCTCTAGGAAAACATTAATTTTCTAACGCTAAGTAAAAAAACTTGCCGACAAAGATTTACCAGTTACATATGTAGCAGGTTTTACTGTTACGTATTAAGTACATTAAAGTATATATAGTTGGCAATTAAATATAACGTCACACAAATTGTTCCAGGGGGTTTTTTGAACAGTACTGTTGGGAAACCTTTTATCGTTGTCAAACCTTAGGGGGTTTTTTGTTTTCGTCAAAAAGTTTTTATAAAAAATGGCAGACCATAACGACGGATATCGTGATACTTCGAACTCTACAACAATTAACCTTAGAGATTCAATAGAATCTTATCATGATAACCCTAGTATAACTTCGATCGCAACAAACACACCACTATTGTACACATCCTTTGACGAGGCCAACGGCATATGTGGACATAATAACGACGAAGATAATGATTGTCGTATGGAAAAATCGTCTAGTCAACCTAAAAAGAAGTTATGGATCGCCATAGGAATATCTCTTACATTCTTTGCCATCGAACTTGTTGGTGGTTTTATTGCCGAGAGTTTAGCATTATTGAGTGATTCTTTTCATTTACTGAGTGGTGGGTTTCGAATTTCTTAATTATTTTAATTTTTTTATATCGAGATTCTCAAATATTGAACTGTTAAATCTATTAATTGCGGATATTAGACGTAGTAAGCTTTGGTATTTCGCTTTTATCTATATATCTTGCATCGCGTCCTGCTACTAGAGGTGAGGTTTCTATCGTATTGTCGCGTTAAGATTTTGTTTATTCACATTTATTTATATTCATTCTCTATTTAGCGCTCTCATATGGTTACCATCGTGCTGAAATTTTGGGTGCTCTTGTTTCAATTTTTCTTATATGGCTTCTCACATTGTATTTATGCGTTGAAGCCTATGATCGTCTAAAAAATCCAGTGCAAGTGGATGGAAAAACAATGTGTGTTGTTGCAGCTATTGGTGTTTTTGTTAACATCGTGTAGGTGTTTTATAATGTGGTTTTATCCTAAAGGCTTTTTTTAAAAAAAACACACATTTAATAATTTATAATTATTTTTCAATCAGTCTGATATTTATTCTAGGACATCATGGTCATGGTCATAGTCATAGCCATGGCCATGGACATGGACATAAGCAACAAAGGGAGGGTGATCAAAGAGAGCATGCACATGCAGAGGGAAATGGCAATGCTCATGGAACATTGATTCAAGGACATGGGCAAAACGAGCATGGACATGGTAATCGTAATAAAGAAGAAAATGTCAATATTCGTGCTGCGTTGCTTCATGTTTTGGGCGATCTTCTTTCTTCATTAGGAGTTCTGATTTCGGCTATAGTAATTATGTTTGATCAGTCCAAAGTATGGGTTGATCCAATTTGCACATTTATCTTTTCGGCACTTGTAATGTTAACAACGTATGGTGTCTTTCGGAGTAGCATAAGAGTTTTGATGGAAGGTTTGTAATTCAGTATTACAAGAATGCACTTAATTTTTTGAATTTAATAAATTAACGCTGGATTATTTTACAATAGCAACACCATCGCATATTGATTCAGCTGCCGTAAGGAGAGATTTAGAAGCAATTGAAGGTGTAGAGAGTGTACATGATTTGCATAGTAAGTTTTTATTTCCATCATGGTGTTATATTAAATCTTTCATTATTACCGATTTTATCTCATTAATTAATATTTTTTTTTCAGTCTGGGATTTAACAGTTGGCCGGGTATGTTTGATAATTTATTACTTGCAGTATAACCTTGGTATAACGAAAGTACTATATATGAAACCTCGAAACACTGAAGCCCTTTACTATGGTTGAAGTAATCTATATTCAATGATCACGCGACTTGTTTCAAGTTTAAAGAAACTGACGGGTAAATTTATAGAGCATGAACTCTATAAGGCAGCCGATCAGTTTTAAAAATGGTTTGACGATTTGAAAACTGATGTCAAATATAGATTTCAGAGCGGTAGCTATGTACACCGACCATCAGTTACTTTAACCATAGCCCGATTTTATATATTCTACTTCCATTTTAATGGAATGCCCAAGTTCTAAAGATATACCGAGGTTTTACTGTATATATACAATCATGTGATGTGCAATGCGCGTGATTATTAAGGTACTGCTATGCGGTATTTAACATAATTTGTCTGGATTATTATTAATAATCGTTTTTTTTTTTTTTTTATGTTCAGACAACACTCACGGCTCATATTCGACTTTGTAAATACAATCCGGATGTTCAAGCTGAGCCTATTGTCCCTAACGATATATTACGACAGGCTCGGCACGTGTTAAAGCAGAATTACGAAATATCGCATGTGACGATTCAAATTGAGTAATTTGAGTACGTACGTACATACATAGAAATCTACTCAACGCGTAAAGGGGAAATAAAGATGTGGATAGAAATATGCTCATATAATACTTGTTTGTGAGCACATACATTAACCAATATTATTTGGTAGTTTGTTACTGCACATTTGTATTAAAGTTTTGTGTACATATAATGTGTAATTTTGATTTTGTGTAATTGATTTTGATAAAAATTGTATGGTTTGAAAGGTTTAAAATTATCCTTAAAAGAACATTTGATGTGATATAGTTATGTTTGTCGGGAATTCATATATTTACGTTTAACGATAAATATAGAGTTAATAAAAAAAGATTTTTTTTTATATTAATTTACATGTAATGTGCTATTTGTATATTATTTTTGATAGAGGTGAGAGAGTGCTATAACATATCAACCTATGAAAAAACCATACTGTATATCATTTGCCAGATTTTTTTTTAGTGTTTAATTCGTGATCCGCCAGTGAACCAGTGAAAAAAACATAGTAAACTTTGGGGATATGTTTACTTATGTAAATTTTGCCTTTTTTGGAATCTGGAGTTTCCCAAAGAAAAGTTTTTTCTTTACTAAGTAAACCTCAATATTTACTTAAAAAAATACGAAGCCCTATATTTTTTTCTCTATAAATACAACACGAATCTTTTCAACGCCTAAGTAAAGTTGCAGAGGAGTGTCTTGCGACCAGAATGGCGGTTAAAATGTTAAAATCGACCTAGTGGATCGCGAGATATAAGCATTTTAGTCTTCGCGACTATATGTTTTCTTCTTTATTTATATATTAAGAAGAAAACGATCCACTAGGCCGATTTTAACGTTTTAACCGCCATTCTGATCACAAGACATTCCTCTACAACTTTACTTAGGCGTTGAAAAGAAAAAACTTTTTTCTTTGGGAAACTCCAATTTCCAAAGACAATAGTAAATATCCCCACTTTTTATGGTGGCGCTGTATTTTTTTTACTGATTCTTAGCCGAATAATAAACTTTTTTCCATTTAGGAACAGTAATTTTATTATTTTGGTTCAAAACACAGATGCAACCTTTTGTAAAAAGGAATATAGAAAACTTTTAAATATGTTTTTAAAAAGAATTCTAAAGATATTTAAATAGAGATATGAACAGTCTTGGAAAGATCGGAATGATCAGTCTTAACCAATCCTACGGTTACTCGGTCTTCGGTCTTGAGACCGGTCTGGCTAGGTAACGATAGTTAAATTTATGTTGATAACACTATGCAGTCTTATTTTATTTAAAGACATACATAGAGTTAAAATTTCGTGCTGAAAATTTTTATTTAGAAGTCAGACTGTAGCGGTAGTTGTTATAGTGAAACTCGAGTTATTTATGTTTTCTCTGGTTTTTTTTGGATTTTATTGGCTGTAACCTGGCACAAATTTTAACTAAATGTTATATATGTTCACTTAGGACTGTTTTTAGGACTGAGACCGAGAAAAACCAGGACGGTTCTATATTTTTATTTGATATCAAGTCTTAAATAACATAAAAGTTATAATATGAATTCAATTTAAAAATGGGTTGCGGAGTCTGCGGACCGCAACAAGTTTTTTAAATTCCCGCAACCAAAATCTGAAGTGCACATGCAGATTCCGCAAAATTTACCTATAAATTTCGATTAAATGTTCATGTGCAAGTCGTTTTTTTTAATTGGTTGCAGCCCGCAACTAATTTAAAAATTGAATTTCAGACACTGCTTAGTACATTAAGGTACGCATACCTATTTTCAGGAATCCATCTATTTCCATGGATTATATTTCAATAAATAGTGAAATATAATCCACAAAAATGGATCCTGCGCACCTTATAATATGTATATATGCTATATATATAGCCAATAAGCTTTATAATCAAAATGAATCAATCAAAACATCAAATATCAAACATATTTTTTCTATAGTCAAATCTCTATAATTGCACCCCCTCGGGACCATAGGACAAATTTTTTAAAAATGTTCATTTAAGGAGGGTGTACATTTATAGCGGAAATTTTTACTATATTTGGGACCATACCAGAGCGTTCATTTAGAGAGAATTTACATAGTGTGTGCATTTATGGAGGATGCAATTATGGAGGTCGTACTAACGCCAATAGGAGTTTCAGAATTAATGATACGTATTATGTAAATCAAAATTATGTATAGTCTCATATGAATAATTTTGTGTGTAACGATCACGAAAATCTATAGTACGTAAAATACCAGATTTTTTTTGCATACCGTAAATGTGTACAAGGTTATGTCGATCACCGAATCGAAAAAACTTGTGCAAATTTTAATTTACCTAAAATTTCGTACTGAAAACTTTTGTTTAGAAGTCAAACTACCCTACCAAAAATTACCAGAATTTTCAATAAGGTTATGATTATTACTTTTTTATACAGTAACTTTTATTGGCAATACGGTTATCATAGTAAAATCTTGAGTTATTTACGATTTTTCTGCTTTCTTAGATAACTCAAAGTTTACTATGATAGCCGTAGTTTGACTTCTAAGCAAAAGTTTTCAGCACGAAATTTTAGGTATATGGGTACACCTGAATATTGAATATAAAGTAAATTAAAATTTGCACTTAAGTTTTTTCGATTCGGTGATCGACATA